GGAGGCAGATTCAGGGGCCCGGAGTCCTGGTCTGATTGGGGCGCTCACAGAGGCAGAGGGCCCGGGGTCCTGGTCTGATTGGGGCGCTCACAGGAGGCAGAGGGCCCGGGGTCCTGGTCTGATTGGGGCGCTCACAGAGGCAGAGGGCCCGGGGTCCTGGTCTGATTGGGGCGCTCACAGGAGGCAGAGGGCCCGGGGTCCTGGTCTGATTGGGGCGCTCACAGAGGCAGAGGGCCCGGGGTCCTGGTCTGATTGGGGAGCTCACAGGAGGGAGATTCAGGGGCCCGGGGTCCTGGTCTGATTGGGGCGCTCACAGGAGGGAGAGGGCCCGGGGTCCTGGTCTGATTGGGGCGCTCACAGGAGGCAGATTCAGGGGCCCGGAGTCCTGGTCTGATTGGGGCGCTCACAGGAGGGAGAGGGCCCGGGGTCCTGGTCTGATTGGGGCGCTCACAGGAGGCAGATTCAGGGGCCCTGAGTCCTGGTCTGATTGGGGCGCTCACAGGAGGGAGAGGGCCCGGGGTCCTGGTCTGATTGGGGCGCTCACAGGAGGCAGAGTCAGGGGCCCGGAGTCCTGGTCTGATTGGGGCGCTCACAGAGGCAGAGGGCCCGGGGTCCTGGTCTGATTGGGGCGCTCACAGGAGGCAGAGGGCCCGGGGTCCTGGTCTGATTGGGGCGCTCACAGAGGCAGAGGGCCCGGGGTCCTGGTCTGATTGGGGCGCTCACAGGAGGCAGAGGGCCCGGGGTCCTGGTCTGATTGGGGCGCTCACAGAGGCAGAGGGCCCGGGGTCCTGGTCTGATTGGGGAGCTCACAGGAGGGAGATTCAGGGGCCCGGGGTCCTGGTCTGATTGGGGCGCTCACAGGAGGGAGAGGGCCCGGGGTCCTGGTCTGATTGGGGCGCTCACAGGAGGCAGATTCAGGGGCCCGGAGTCCTGGTCTGATTGGGGCGCTCACAGAGGCAGAGGGCCCGGGGTCCTGGTCTGATTGGGGCGCTCACAGGAGGGAGAGGGTGAGTTCAGGGTGGCACTGTGGGGACAGACTCGGCGCCGGGCGCAGGGTGGGCAGGCCCTCCTGTCGGGGGCCTGGCGTGGTGTCTGAGGTGCGATGGTGAACTGGTGGGTGCGGGCTCTGGATGGACTGACTTGTAATCAGAGGCGTCCACCGGGCGGCTTAGCCGGCTCCAGGGACTGGAAGCCATGGGGTTGGGGCAGTCTGTCCAGAACCAAGGCCCCAGGTGTCCGGAATACAGAGCACAAGCAGATCCAGTAGACAGAATCGGGCGGGCAGACGGCGGGGGGAGGAGGGATCGCTTTTGCCTGTCTGGAGAGGCAAGCCAGGCTCTGCTCAAGGAAAAAGACAGTGGGTGTTTTGTTGAAGAGAAGAAAGAAGGGGAAAACCTGGTGCTGCCGTGGACGGGGCCCTGCCCGGGAGAGGGCTGCCCAGGCCCGGCCCTGCCTGGCTCCCTCGCCTCCTTTCAGCCAGAGAGAGAAATGACCTCGCCTTCCCAGGAGCAGGGGGAATAATGCCCAGCCCTCCCTCCCACCCCCTGTGGCCCTGCCTCCTGTCCCCAGGCCTGTGGGCACCAGCGTCTCCCTTTATGACAATCATTTCCGGGCGGCTGTCTTACCTTACTGATGAAGACAAATCCTGGGTCCACATTTCAGAACCATCTGCAAATCTCTCTTTTAAAAAACTTAAAAGAAAAATTTCTTTAATGATTTCAGAGAGGAAGGAGAGAGACAGAGAGAGAGAGAGAGAGAGAGAGAGAGAGGGAGGAAGGAAGGAAGAGAGGAGAAAGAGAGAAACATCAATGATGAGAATTGTTGTGGAGCAAACGCCAGTCAACCACTGGAGTCCAGTCCAAATTAAAATTTAGGGAGCCTTTATTTTATTTTATTTTAAAATATATTTTATTGATTTTTTTTTACAGAGAGGAAAGGAGAGGTGTAGAGAGCTAGAAACATCGATGAGAGAGAAACATCTACCAACTGCCTCCTGCACACCCTCCACTGGGGATGTGCCTGCAACCCACGCACATGCCCTTGACCAGAATCGAACCTGGGACCCTTCAGTCCGCAGGCTGACGCTCTATCCACTGACACACTGGTTTTGGCGAGGGACCAGTTTTATTATTTATTTATTTATTTATTTTTTAAATATATTTTATTGATTTTTTTACAGAGAGGAAGAGAGAGATAGAGAGTTAGAAACATCGATGAGAGAGAATCATCAATCAGCTGCCTCTTGCACACCCCCTACTGGGGATGTGCCTGCAACCAAGGTACATGCCCTTGACCAGAATTGAATCCGGAACCTTTCAGTCCGCAGGCTGACACTCTATCCACTGAGCCAAACCAGTTCCGGCGAGGGACCACTTTTAAGCACATTAACCACATCCTGTTTTGGCAGAACAAGTAACCCAAGACAAAACAGGTTTTCTTTTTTCTTTTTTAAAATATATTTTATTGATTTTTTTACAGAGAGGAAGGGAGAGAGCGAGCGAGCTAGAAACATCGATGAGAGGGAAACATTGACCAGCTGCCCCCTGAACGCCCCCTACCGGGGATGTGCCCACAGCCAAGGTACATGCCCTTGACTAGAATCGAACCTGGGACCTTTCAGTCCACAGACCGACGCTCTACTACTGAGCCAAACCGGTTTCGGCGACAAAACAGTTTTTCCCAAATAATGTCGGGGCCATGCTGTTGACTACCATGTTGTTCACAGGGTTATCCTGTTCTCCAGAAAGCTGACAGTGTTCTGTCTTGCAAGGCTACTTTGTGAAGTGCAAGGGGAGGGGGCCTGAGACTGTATCTCAAGGCCTGGCCTGGTGTCAGCATGGACAACTCCGTCTGGGGCATGGTCCACAGCCTCTCCAGAAGCATGCTCAAAAATACCCTCTCGCCGAAACCAGGTTGGCTCAGTGGATAGAGCGTCGGCCTGCGGACTGAAAGGCCCCAGGTTCGATTCCAGTCAAGGGCATGTACCTTGGCTGTGGGCACATCCCGGTATGGGGCGTTCAGGGGGCAGCTGGTCGATGTTTCTCTCTCATCGATGTTTCTAACTCTCTATCCCTCTCCTTTCCTCTCTGTAAAAAATCAATAAAACATATTTTTTTAAAAATGTCCCCTTTCCAACAAGAAGCATCGATTGGATGCCTCCTGCACCCCCCACACTGGGGATCGAGCCCACAACCCAGGCCTGTGCCCTGACTGGGAATTGAACTGTGACCTCCTGGTTCATAGGTCGATGCTCAACCCCTGAGCCACACGGGCCAGCCACCTCTCCGAGGTCTGGCCTCTGCGCACCCAGTGTCCCTCTGCCTCCCCTCGCCAGGATGGCATTAGCGTCCACGCCGATAATCCGAGATCAGCCTCCGGGTGAGAGCCTTAGCTTAATCGTGCCTGCAAAGTCCCCTCACCAGAGCCACACTCCCAGGCCTGGGGCCGCGGCCCCGCCCGGTCACTCCCTCACACTTCCATGTCACTGCCACAGGACCTGATCCCTGGGCCTGTGGTCAGCCCCACCCAACACCCTTGCACGGCCTTCCAGGCCATTCCGAGAGACTTCCTCTCGCCCGCCTGTCCCCAGGCCTGTTCGCCATCACCCTGCGCGGCTCCTTCACGGCAAATGTTCTCAGAGTTTGTGTCTCTGAGATATCTATTGGACCTCCTTCCTCCTCTTCCTCTTCCTTCTCCTCCTCCTCCTCCTTTTTAGAGAACTTCTGTGAGTTTATTTGGGCCATAGACCTTCTTTTGTTTTTGTTTTTTTAATCCTCACCCCAGGATATTTTCCCCTTGATTTTTAGAGAGAATGGAAGAGAGAGGGAAAGACAGAGAGAGAAACATCCCCACGGGACTCTCTCCCTCGAAGGTAGGGTCACCCGCTGTCCACTAGAAATGTCACCTGAGCCGAAACCCGTGTGGCTCAGTGGACAGAGCGTTGGCCTGCGGACTGAAGGGTCCCGGGTTCGATTCTGGTCAAGGGCATGTACCTTGGTTGCGGGCACATCCCCAGTAGGGGTTGTGCAAGAGGCAGCTGGTCGATGATTCTCTCTCATCGATGTTTCTAGCTCTCTATCCCTCTCCCTTCCTCTCTGTGAAAAATCAATAAAATATATTTTTTAAAAAGAGAAAAGAAATGTCACCTGAGCCCAGCCCGCACGGCTCAGCAGCTGAGCATCCACCTACGGACCAGGTCAGAGTTCGATTCCCCGTCAGGGCACAGGCCTGGATGGCGGGCTCCATCCCCAGAGTGGGGCGTGCAGGGGGCAGCTGGTCAATGATTCCTTCTCATCACAGATGTTTCTCTCTCTCCCTCTCCCTTTCCTCTCTGAAATCAATAAAAATATTTAAAAAAAGGAAAAAGAAATGTCACTTGGCTTCTTAGAGGAGCTTGTCCCGGCCGTGCCCGTGCCTTACGACAGCCCCCCTTTCGGAAAATGCCCCCCGAACCCCATCGCCTTGGACTCCGCTCCTCTCCCCACACCCAGCCCGTCAGCTGGTCCCGGCGCCCGAGGTGCCCTCACCCGCCCCCCAGCCCCACTCGGCCCTCCGCCCCCAGGACGCTTCCGGGTCGCGGAGCGGGGTTCCCCTCGGGCCGGACGGTCACCGGGGGCGGCGGGGCGGGGAGGAACCTTCCGGGGAATCAGCGACCAACCCGGCGGCTGGAGCCGGAGAGGCCCGCCGGGTGCCCGGCCCGCCCCGCCGCCCCCGCCTCCGTACGGCCCCGCACGGTCCCCCGGCCCCGCCCGGAGCCCCGCCCCCGGCCCCCAGCCCCCCGGGAGCCCCGCCCCGGCCCCCCCCCCCCGCGCCCCGGCGCCCCGCCCCGCAGCCCCGCCTCCGCAGGCCCCCGCTCCCCCGCTCCCCCGCTCCCCCCGCCCGGAGCCCCGTCCCCCCGCCCGGCCCCCGACGGCGTCTGGGGCGCGTGACCCGGAGGCGGAACCGCCCGGCGGCGCACACTCCGCTCGGAGCGCGGAGCGCGGAGCCCGAGCCCCGGTGCCCCCGCCGCGCCCGCCATGCGCGCCCCCGCCGTGCGCCCCCCGCGCCCCGGGCCGCCGCTGGCCGCCCTCCTGGCCGCCCTCCTGGCCGCCCTCCTGGCCGCGCTGCCCGCCGCTCCGGCCGAGGCCCCGGTCCTGGTGCGCGTGGACGCGGCCCGCGTGCGGGGCCCGCTCCGGCCCTTCTGGCGGAGCACGGGCTTCTGGTGAGCGCGGGGGCGGGAGGGCCGGGCGCGGGGGCCGGGGGCGGGGGCAGGAGGGCCGGGCGCGGGGCCCGGGGGCGGGGGCCCGGGGGCGGGGGCGCGGGGTCCGGGGGCGGGGGCCCGGGGCGCGGGGGGCCCGGGGCGGGGGCCCGGGGGCGGGGGCGCGGGGCCCGGGGGCGGGGGCCCGGGGCGGGGGCCCGGGGCGCGGGGGGCCCGGGGCGGGGGCCCGGGGCGCGGGGGGTTGGGGGTTCGGGGGCGCGGGGTCCGGGGGCGCGGGAGCCGGGGTTCGGGGGTCCGGGAGCGGGGGGCCCGGGAGCGGGGGCGCGGGGCGCGGGGGGTCGGCGGTTCGGGGGCGCGGGGTCCGGGGGCGCGGGAGCCGGGGTTCGGGGTCCGGGAGCGGGGATCCCGGGGGCGGGGGGCGCGGGGCGGAGGGCCGGGGGCGCGAGGGTCCAGGTGAGCGGGGGTCCGGGGCGCGGGGGCCGGGCGCGGGAGCCGGGGGTGCGGGGGTCCGGGAGTGGGGGGCCCGGGTGCGGGGGTCCGGGAGCCGGGGGCCCGGGGGCGGGGGTCCGGGGCGCGGGGGGCCCGGGGGCGGGGGTCCGGGGCGCGGGGGGCCTGGGCGGCCCTGCGCCTCTCCCGCCCGGCGCCCCTCCCACCGGGGCCCCCTGTCCCGTGTGGAGAGACCCCGCTCCTGCGCCCGCGGCACACAGGAGGCGCTGCCAAGCAGGGAAGGCGGCCCAAGCGGTCACTCTCTCCTCCGAGCCCACCCGCGCCCAGTGTGGTCCCCTGTGTCCCGACTTCATGGGAGCTTGGGTGCCGGAAGGGCGTTCTCGCTGAGGGAGGAGGGTGGTGGCGGACGGCCAGGCTGATGGCGGAGGCGGGGTGGGGGCAGCCCGGCCCTGGAAGGGCCCTCCCAGGGGCAGCCCCGGGCGATAGGGCACCCCTGCCTGGCACCTGTCCTCACTGGGCCCCTGACCCCTCTGCCAGGCTGGGAGCTCAGATCCGGGCTGCCGGGGCCAGGAACAGGGTGGGGTGAGTCCTCTCTCCTCGGGGAGCCCCCGGCCCCCGAAACCTGAGTCTTCGTCACGTTTCTGGCCTTGGGGTCATCGCCCCAAGGCCAGCATCATCCGCTCCGGGCACTTCCCAGCCCGCCCGCTGGAGCGTGTCCCGGGCAGGCCCGGCGGGGCTGTGTCCCTGCGGGGGTGGGTGAGGCTGGCCTGTGCGCGCCCCCCCCCCCAGACTGACGCTCCCGCCCTGTCTGCCCCCAGCCCCCCGCTGCCGCACAGCCGCGCGGACCTGTTCGACCTCAGCTGGGACCAGCAGCTCAACCTGGCCTACGTGGGCGCAGTGCCCCATGGCGGCATCGAGCAGGTGCGGACGCACTGGCTGCTGGAGCTGGTCACGGCCAGGTGGGTGCGGGGCGGCCGGCCGGCGGCTGGCAGAGCACGCTGTTATACAGGGCCAGGCTGTGCCGGGGGCGGTGCTGTGCGGCCGCTGGGGGGCGCCGAGCAGTCCTGTGGGATGGGAGGGGAGACCTCTGGGCTCAGGGCCGTGGGTGCTGGGCCGCCAGCACGGGCGCTCCGGCTTCCCTGCCTCCGGTCGCCTGGCGCTCAGGGTGGGCTGGGTCCTGTGCCCTGGCTCTGTGGCTGCACCGCTCCGGCGAGGATTCACACTCAGATCCTGTGCCCGGTTTTTTGTTTTTTGTTTTTATTGCCTCCTGCACGCCCCTGAGGACCTCAATCCAGGCATGTGTCCTTGACCGGAATTCAGACCTGGGACCTTTCAGTCCACAGGCCAGTGCTCTATCCGCTGAGCCACACAGGCTAGGCATGTGCTGGGTGTTTGTGAGTCGGCTGTGCAGGGAGGTGGTGCCCGCGAAGCCACCTGAGGTTGCGCTGGTCACACCATGGCCTTGGCCCTACAGTGAGGGACACGTGGGGGCCTGGCCGGGTGTGAGGGACACTTGGGAGGGGGGTTGGGGGAGCTTCCAGAGACACAGCCCCGCCGGCCTGGCTGGAGCGGCCTGCCCTCCCGGGGGAGGGCTGCGGGGCCCAGGGCTCCGGTCCTGTTGGCACCGTGCAGGGCACTGGGCTGTCTCGGGTCCTCGTTCAAATAAGACAGTCACTCGAGTGCAGTCTGGCCCCCGTGACGGCCAGCACAGGGTCGGCTCCGCACAGAGGTGGCTCTTTCAGAGGAGAACATGGTGCCCGTGCCTGGAGGAGTCGGTCTGGGGGACCGGGGGCGAGGCATCGGCGTGGGCACCGCCAGGCGGGGTCCGGGCGGCGCGGAGTCGGCGGGCGCGCGCTCCCGGGGCCGGGCTCGGGCGGCCTGCACGGCCTGGTGCACACTGTGCGGCGGCTGCGCCTCGTCCCCCGCGCCCTCCTGGCCGCCCCCCAGGACGCCCCCTCTGCGCAGGGCGTCCGCACCGGGGGGCTGCAGCCGGCCAGCAGCAGGGCGATGCCCAGCGCCCCGTAATCTCGGCACAGGTCGCGCAGCGTGGCCAGGCCGGCCGCGGAGGCGTTGGGGGCGCCGCGGTCCGCGCGCGGGCCGTCCTGGGCGGGGTCGAAGCCGGCAGCAGGAGCTCCCGGTCCTCCACCTGGCCCACCACGAGGCAGAGCAGGCTGAAGATGCCCACGGAGACGTGGCGGAGGTGCCCATGGGGAAGCAGATGCGGTTGGCGAAGAAGGACGTGTAGAGGCTGTGGACGGGCTGCAGGCCGGCCAGCAGTGCGTAGGCGATGGCCTGCGGCACCAGGATGATGCCGATGACCAGCCCGGACATGACGCCGCCCGCCAGGTCCTCCCGCGGGCAGTACCGGGGCAGCCAGCGCGCGGCCGGGAACAGGTCCCCCGCACGTTGCACGCCCGGCTCTGCCGCAGCCTGGCCGCCCGCGACCGGGGGGGCCGGGGGGGCCGGGGGGGGGCCAGGGGGGCCGGGGGCCGCCGGTGGACCAGCACGGGTCCCACCCTGCGGCTCAGGGGCGTCCATCGCGGGAGCCGGGCCCTCCGGAACCTGCTGTGGAGACGGGGGTGTCAACCTGGGGGCAGCGGGAGGTGCGTCACGGGCCCAGGCTCTGCTGTGCCCTGTCCACCTCCCGGTCCAGCCCAGGCCCTGCCCTCACCCTCACCGATGCCCCCCCATGCAGACCACCAAGCCCCCTCTGCCCTGGGGCATGGAGGCCGGGGACGGAGCCACAGCCCCCAGCACCTGCCGGGGCCCGGGGCGGGAACCCTGGCACCTGCAGAGCCAGCTGTCTGTTCTGACTGTGGGCCCCCCCCCCGCCATGGGAAGGCAGCCCTCCTGGTCTTGCCTCAAAACACACGTGTGCACCGTGCAACACGCGTGCTGGGCCGTGCCTGCCGTCTGGCCCGGCCCTGGACACTGCCCTCTCAGTGGCCTCACCCTGGTCACCCCGCCTGTGCTGAGAGCCGGGCCAGGACACGGGCCTGACTGCTGGGGCGTGGAGGGTGCGGGGCCTGGCCCTGTGCTGTGGACTCCCGTGGTTCCTCCGTTAGGGGACCCAGGAAAGCTGTGCCCAGAGACCTCACCCCAGGGCTGGGCCTCTAAACGCCGCCTGCCTTGTGCTGGGGTCCCCAAAAAGCCAGGCCCTTGCCTCTCCCCGGGGTCTTCGGGTCCACACAGGCCCCGCGGGACTTACCTGAGGGACCCTCCGGGCTCGGGCTCCGGCTCAGTGGGCAGTGAGGGCTGGCGGCTGTCTGTCCTCCCGGCCCAGCCCGGGTCTGCTGGCCGGCTGGCCAGACCCCGAGCCCGACTGCAGACGGTGCTGGCGGGCTGGGCTGGCCATTAAATTATTTACCCCGGAGACTGCCGAGTCAGCCCCCAGCCTTCCTCCACACGGTGCCCTGAGCGGCCGTCCTGGGAGCTGTGCTGTAATCAGGCCCCGAGTAATTACCTGTGTGGCCTCGATCGGCTCCCAGCCTCCCGGGATGGGGCTGTGGGGGGCGGGGGCCGGGCCGCCCAGGGCAGCGTGGGGCTGGGCAGGGTGCTTGGGAGGAGGCCCTGGCACCCGGCATCCGAAAGGATGGGTATGGACCAGGGAAGGGCCCCAACCTCCTCTCTGTTCTCGGTCTTTGTGTGAGAGGCTGCTGTGAGTGTGGGTGTGGGTGTGGCCGAGGCAGGGGCTTGCCAGGAGCTGACTGAGGTCTGGGACCAGCCAGGCGTGGGCACGGTCGGAGTCTGCGCCCCGGACCCCGACCACCTGGCCCCGCCCAGTGCTGACCCTGGTGAGTGGCAGGCGCGTTCTCTCCGGAGGGGCCCGCCTGGCAGGGCTGCAGGAGGCTGGTGCCCCACACGCCACACCAAGGGCAGGCCGAGTGTTCACGGTGGTGGTTCAGAACCTCAGCCCCCGCTTTTTAGGGAAAGGAGTGGGTGAGGAGGGGACGATCATGGGTGCTGAAGCCTCAGGGGCCCCCCTCCTGGAGGTGTGGCCCCTTGGGTGCCGGAGGGCCGAGCTGGCCTGGCTGCTGTCCCCGAGGCCCTGGCCCTGGCCCAGCTGGTCCTCCCGTCCCCGCGGGCACTGCCATGGTCAGCAGCCCCCAACCTGTGGGGCTCTTCCTTCGGACGGGACAGTGAGAGGCCGAGGGCCTCCTGCCAGACCCTGCCACACTCATCCCGCCCTGGCCCACAGCCCTGGCCCACAGCCCTGGCCTGGCGGGGAGACCAGCGGTCCCGTTTGGGGGCAAAGACGGGCGTGGTGCCCGGGGGGATGGCCAGGGACGGGAGGCAGAGCCAGGGCCTGGGACCGCTCCCCCTGGGAGCTGTCGGCCGGGACCTGAGCTGCAGTTCACTGGCCCAGGTCCGGGCCGGGTGAGTCAGACGGAAGTCCAGGGCCTCAGGCGCCAACGAGGGGCAGATGGGGTGCCCTTCCGAGAGAGGTGTGGGTGGGGAGGGCAGCTACTGCGGGTCATAAAACAATTTCTCCCGAACCTGCTACCAAACAGGGCGGCGAGGGAACTCCCCTGGGCGCCCTGCCCTAAAGGCCTGGCGGTGGCTGGGCGTGGACCAGGTCAGGCCGCATGCCGGGGCTGGGAGCTCCATCCGGTGTGGGGCGTCCCGGAGGCAGCCGGTCCAGGTTCTCATCCTGGATGTTTCCACCTCCCTCCCTTCTGCTCTGAAGTCAATACCATGTGCACCTGTAAGAGGCATGGAGGGTCTGGGGTGCAGACACGTGCACGGGGGCTGGGACAGGATGTGGGGGGCTTAGGAAGGGGGAGTCATTTGGGGGGAACGCTAATGCAGGAGGGGGCCCCTCGCTCGCAGGAGCGGGCAGGGCCGGGAGGCGGTCTGGGTCTTAGCACCTGTGGTGGGGTTCTGGGCCGGTGGGCATTTCGGGGAGGGCTGTTTCCGTGGGCCCGTCTGTCAGCTGCGTGGGGCCTGGCCTCGGCTGTCCTCGGCCGTGTGCACTGAGCCTGTACCCCCAGCACCTACCTGGCTGAGCACCTTGGAGAGAACGGCAGGACCCTGGGCCTGGCACCCGCACCCACACCTCGGCCTGCTCTCTGTCTGGTATCCTGGGTGACGGTGCCGGGCTGTGGTCTGGGCAGGTGTCTGGGCCCTGGGCCCCGCCCCCAGCAGCAGGCTCTGGCTCAGGGCAGGGCTGGGTCTCCAGGGCCTTCCACCCGCCGCCTGCCCCCTCCCTGCCACACCCACACGGCTATTTCCGTAATGTGTTCCCTCCAGCCGAGGTTTTCAGGGTGAAGGGCAGTTACTGGAGAAGGAAGGAGGGAGAAGTCTCCAGGGCCCCGAGAACAGACCCCAGCTCCCCCCGCCCTCCGCCGCCTCCCCAAGCCACCGCGTGTGTGAGCGCTCCCTCCCGGGTCCCAGAAGGTAGCCAGGGGCCAAGCAGACAGCCTCCTGGCCCCATGGCACCCTCCCCATCCCCCCATGGCACCCTCCCCCATCCCCCCATGGCACCCTCCCCCATCCCCCCATGGCACCCTCCCCCATCCCCCCATGGCACCTTCCCCCATCCCGGAAGGCAGACCCGCCTCCTGGCCCCATGGCACCCTCCCCCATCCCCCCATGGCACCCTCCCCCATCCCCCCATGGCACCCTCCCCCATCCCCCCATGGCACCCTCCCCCATCCCCCCATAGCACCCTCCCCCATCCCCCCATGGCACCCTCCCCATCCCCCCATGGCACCCTCCCCCATCCCCCCATGGCACCCTCCCCCATCCCCCCATGGCACCCTCCCCATCCCCCCATGGCACCCTCCCCATCCCCCCATGGCACCCTCCCCCATCCCCCCATGGCACCCTCCCCATCCCCCCATGGCACCCTCCCCCATCCCCCCATGGCACCCTTCCTCATCCCCCATGGCACCCTCCCCATCCCCCCATGGCACCCTCCCCCATCCCCCCATGGCACCCTCCCCCATCCCCCCATGGC